TATTAAAAATTTATCACTTGTAGTATTTTTTTTTCTATTAATTACTTTTTATTAAATTTTAATGAACTTTTATGGTAAATTTTTTAAAATAATGTTTGTTTTTTTTTTTCAAATATTAATTTACTGATTAATTATGTGCTTAATAAGCTATATAAATGTTTATATAAATTGATAATAGGTGATTTTTAGCGATGATTTCATTCACGCATCATACGTACGTGGTGGTCCACTCTTGAATACGTTTATTCTAACACAAGCGCCACTTCCGTCAACAATCAATGATTTCTGGCAAATGGTTTGGCAGGAACGTTCAAAATATATCATCATGTTATGCAAAGCTGTTGATATGAAACGTTTAGGCTTACTGGATGGAGTATTACCTAACACTTGCGTGTATTACTGGCCAAGGTAATACTTCTCTTTCTGTATAAGTAAATGTGTAAGTAAGTTTCTGTATAAGTAATCAGTTTTTGAAGAATTCTTTCGCCTAGAAAAAATAGCTTCTAGTATGTAATCAGTAACTAAAATTCGTTAACAGTGTGTTTTAGGTTGTCTGACAAAGAAGAAAAAAAATAACTAAAAATAAAGTTTAATTTTAATTTATAGCACAAATGACATCACATTAACAGTATTTCATATGTCTTAAAATTTAGAACATTATTTGTTTTTTTTTTTTTTTTTTTTTAGAAAAAACGGTCTTATTTTTTATTAATATGTATAATCAGCATACAATTGTTTATTTAATATATTTCAATAATTTTAATTATACTAAATTTTATTTCTTATTACAATATTTTATTTAATTTTATAATATTTGAAAATTCCGCCTTCTATTTAATTTCATAACATTTGTTTATTTTATTATTAAATTTGCTAAATTTTCCTTTGAATATTTTGAAATATTTTAGATAGTATTAATGTAACAGTTTAATTAATTATTAATAATAAATAAATGATAATAATATTAATACACTTTCTTAAAATTTTATTATTGTAGAATTATAGAATTATTGTGAAAAGGAAAAGCAAAAATTCTAGTTTAAAATTCAATAATCATGAATTTTAAAATTATCATTTAAATAGATATGAAAATGACAAAGCTCAATATGGTGATTACATTGTTTGTAATATTAAAATGGATTGTACCACTGATCCACTTTTCAATGTCACCCATTTGACAATGCATCGAGTTGATGACGAAGAAGGCTTTGTGCATAAGTTAGAACATTGGCAATATGATTGGAATAATTTCACTGATTTTTATTGGCCATTACGCATCCTTCGAAGGTATTGTATACTTTATAGTTTTTATCAATAAAACATTCTTATCATTTCTTTTTTATCGTTGAATGATCATTGCAATCATTATTTATCTTCATCTAATATCACTATTATTATCATCATCGTTAATATCATTCTTATCATTAATATCATCAGTATCAGTTATCACGAACATTTATTTATTTAATCACTTCTTTTCTTTTTCATTTTAGACTTTGTACAATAGGAAATGGTAGCAATACCGTACCTGGCATACGGTATTGAGTACGGTACTATTACCATTTCCTATTGTAGAACAATAACATAGCAATTATTTATGATCATTGATGTGTATATTAATCGCCTAAAGATCATTGCAATCATTATATATCTTCATTTAACATCACTTTTATTATCATCGTTAATATCATTCTTATCATCAATGTCATCAATATCAGTTGTCACGAACATCATTTATTTAAACGCTTTTTTTTTTCCATTTCAGACTTTGTACAATAGGAAATGGTAGCAATACCGTACCTGGCATACGGTATTGAGTACGGTACTATTACCATTTCCTATTGTAGAACAATAACATAGCCAATTATTTATGATCATTGATGTGTGTATTGAATTTTTTATAATAAAATTTTTTTTTTTTTTTTTTTACATAAATTTTTATCATTTTTTAAATTTATTAGGGCACGCTTATCATCAATGCCAACAATTATACATTGTTTGGATGGTTGTGGTCGTTCTGGTACTTTGGTCACTATTGAAGTACTTTTAATGCACTTACTTAGAGGTTAAAATTAAATTTAATAATTTTGCTTTCTTATAAATGATTGATGGTATTAAAAAAAAAAAAAAAAAAAATGACAGGCAAATAATTTTATCATGAAATAATCTATTAATGGAGTTATTAAAATATTTTTTTTTTTTTTTAAATTACAATCAATTATAGTGATTATGCATCTTACGGGTAAATATTTTGGTATTTTCTATAATTAATGTATAACTTCTAATATAAATGCAATAATAAATATTGTTTGCATGTAAAATTAAAATAAAAACCAAAAAAAAAAAAGTTAAATACTGATTAGATATAAAGTTGTAAAATTAAAATTGATAAATTGTTTATGGTTTTTGAATTTATCAGTTGATTATTTTTCAAATTTTCACTTTTTTTTTAAAAAAAAAAAAAAAGAAAAAAATAAATATAATAGAAGTAATAGCTTTTACAAATAAAAACAAAATGCATCTTTTTTTTTTTTTTCAAAAAGGAAAAAAAAATCAATGTTTTATATTTCAAATTTTCTAATTTAATCTATTTTAGAATAATTTTAGGTTCAGCTCAATATGATAATTTAGTACTTACAACAGCAATTTTTGTACGACTTCAACGACGTCATGCAATTTCATCGCCATTACAATATTTATTTATCTATCGTACATTACTTCATTGGATGCAACCATTTATTACGTCAAATATTTCACGTTTTATTCTTGGATTAATTTTTCCTAATTGGGGTTTTGTTGGCAAATATGAGAAAATGATTAGCAATCGTTATAAATTTAAATGATATGATATGATATGATAAGATATTATCAATGATTGATTTATTCAAAGACAAAAAATATGACAATATTCTCTTTTAAAACAAACTTTTAATGAATATTTGAGATATAAATAATCAAAATGATGTTCCAAAAAAAAAAAAAAAAGGCGATATTAAAAGATAAAAAATCTTTTTAATTTTTGTTAAAATAAATTTTTTTAAAAATTTCTCGAAAATTTGCAATAATTTTAGAATTTTGTTTTCCTATTTACAGGGCTTAAAATTAAACTGAAGAAATGAAATTTTTTTTTTTTCATTTACTTTGAGCTTTTATTTTTAATCAATGTTTGCTATGTTAAGTTGTAATTTTAAAATTGTTGTCTAATAAATATTTGCAAAAGTTCAAATTTGATTTTTAATTTTTATGTAAATATTTTCCTTCTAAATATTGTTCGTATTTTTTATCCCAAATTTAATATTGCAAATTTTATGCTATTATCACAACATTTACGGTTTATCGTTTGGTATATTTTTGCATAGAAACATTGCAGAATGGACGTTCTTAATAAGTTACGTGTATTACGTAACGTCAATTATTTGTACGCCACCTAATATATTTCTATCTTCATGCCTGTAAATATTTCAAATGCATTTGCGTCTAATATAATTTCTGTATTAATTAATTAAAAAAAATTAATTAATAATATGAAATCATCATTTCATATACAGAATTTTTTTTTTTTTTTTAACATTCAAATTCAAATGGAATAATAATTTTAAATATTCATCCATTAATATTTAAAGTGAATTATAATTATTTGTATAAATAATAAGCAAAATCAAATGGCAAAAAAAAAAAAAGAGAAATGATTTAATAAAATAAACAAAAATTTTTATAAAATAATTGAAAACAGAAATTTAAGAAAGAAACACAAAAAGCACAATTTTTTTTTCTTCATAATTTTTGATATAATTAATCGAATTTAATAAATGAAAGTAATTAACAATTCTTTTTTTTAAATAAATAATAAATGGATAGCAATAATTTTGGAATACTTCAACTGAACCTTTCTAATATCTTACCTAATTTCATTTTAATGAAAATTATTAAAGTTTTCTTTCTTCTAAACTTTCAAAATGTAAGAATGAGAATGTTATTTTTAAACTATTACCTTTTAAAAGCAAAGAAATGAATAAATTTTGAATCAACATTTGGATTTTAAATTTCAATTTTTAACTATGCTATTTGAAATTATGAGTGAATTTTAAATACAATATATTGAATCTGAAAAATATTTAATCTTTAAAAGAAATAAAAAAAAAAAAAAAAATAGTTCAATTGAAATTAACGTTTCGACGTTGTATGTTATACTTTGTATGTTTTGTATGTAAATTTGTAGATATTACATACTTTTGTATGTTTTGTATGTAAGTTTGTATGTGTATGTATGTTCATGTATGTATGCATGTAAGTTTATATATGATTTCCAATTTAGATAATTTTCAAATAATTTTGTTAAATTTCAAGTTTTAAATAATTCTTAACTAAACTATTAATAATAATATATGCATTAATAATTTTATTCGGAAGAAAAAAAAAATTCTTTTCATATTTTCTTTTTTTTTTTTTTTTTTCAACAAGAAATATTTTAAATTTAATTTTCTTCTACCTTATAAAAATTTGACACATTTTTGATTTACCGTTTAAATTTCCAAAATTTAATTGAAAAATATTGAAATGATAATGCTGAAAAATAGATGAATTTAAAATTGAAAGATTAAATAAAATGCAAACGAATATTTCTTTCTTTTTTTTTTTTTTTGCAATTTAATTTTGAAAAAAAAAAAAAAATTAATTACTTCTTTTTTTTTAACAATAATAATTTATTAATTTTATTTTCTTTTTTTTTTTCTTTCTTTCTTTCATATTTATTTCTTTTCTATTATCAATCATTTTATTTTAATTTAATTAATTCATCTAATTAATTAGATCATTATTTATAGCTTTTGCTCCATTTATATTTCTTTCTCTTCCAAAAAAAATTTTTCTATATCTGAAGAAATAAAAAAAAGAGAAAGAAAGAGAGAGAGAGAGAGAGGGAGAGAGGGAATGATAATGAAGAGATAAATAATTGATAATATTCTCTTCAAAACTTTACTTTATATATATATTTTTTTTTTGTAATAGAGGAAAGGAAAGGAAAAAAAAAAAGAGGAATTCCATTTATTTCAAATCAGGTCATCTCTCTCCCTCTTTCTCTCTCTCTCTCTCTCTCTCTCTGTCTTAGATGAAATTGTTTCAGAGTGATAGAAAGGCATTTCAATTACTTCTCATAATTTTGAATTACAAAAAAAAAAAAAAAAAAAAGAAAGAAATGGTAACGATAGTGTCCATCATGGCACATTGTCCATTGTTGTATATCGTGTCAACTCTCGGTTGACAGTTTATTTATTTAAAAATCTTTTTTTTTTTTTTTTTAAATTGCTCATTTTTTATATTTTTAAATGATCAATTAATAAATACTTATAATTAAACATAATTAGCAATAATTAATTACATGTAAAATTAATTTTTATATTTATTGAAATTAAACTTTCCATTTTTGCTAATTTATTTGCATAAAATTATAATTTCAAAATTTATATGCAATTGAAAATTTGCTTTAATTAATTTATTTTGTATTTTATACATTCATTTATTCATTCATTCATGCAAAGTTATGTTTATTTTATGTTCTGTTTATGATTCATTACAAATTAATAAATTTCAAATTAAAAAAAAAAAAGTTAAAAAAAAAAAAACAAAAATAACAATTAAAATTGAGAGACACTACTAATTTCATTTCTTTTGAAAAATTTAATGCCTAAAAAAAAAAAATTTTAACATTTGTATTTTTTTTTTCCTTTTTTTTTTACTACTAAAATTATTTAACTTCATTGCTGCTTAAATTCAATAATTTTTTTTTTTTTTTTATTGTTTCATCTTAATTTGCTTATTGTTTAATTTGCTTATCAAATTTAATTACTTCACATAGTGTTATTCTAATTTTTAAATTATAAAATGCATATACATTTAGATGTTTTATGGTACCATAGCTGGTATAACTTTTTTAATTAGTGCTTTTACAATATTAGCACAATTAATTTTATTGCCAATATTTTTCAAGCGTACTGACATTATGCGAAATGATATTGAGGAACGTATGAAATTATTTAAGGTTAGCTAATTACTTATAATTAATTATCAAATAAATAATAAAAATAAAAAAAGAAGAAGAAGAAAATAATTTGCATTTTACTTTTTAGTTAATTGTTTCAATTAGCTATTTTAAAATGAATTAAAAAATGAACTGAAATATTTTAGATAAAAGAATGTGTTGTACTTTTGACAGTTTTATTTATAGATATTAGCTGATATAGGTGATATCAATCTTGCTCAAAAACGTCAAGAATTGTTACGCAGGAAAAAATCAATAAATACCTGTCCACCACCAGAACCTGGACCACCAGGACCACCAGGTATTTAATAATTTGGATATTTTGTATAGAATTATGACAATTTGTCTTTAGTTTAAATTAGATTAAATTAAATTAAATTTGAATGATTTAATTAATTTTATTTTTAGGAGATCCAGGTGAGGATGGTGAACAAGGTGATGATGGACCTATTGGTTTACCAGGAAAAAGTACATTTGAATTATTAGAAGAAATACAACAACAATGCATCATTTGTCCACAAGGTGAACGTGGACCACCCGGAGCACCTGGTAACCAAGGAATACAAGGTCCTAAAGGTGATCGAGGTGTACCTGGAATTCCTGGACTAGATGGCCAAGATGGTATTTGTTTGAATTTTGTTTTAATTTAACAATATTTGTTACAGGAATTAATCAAGTCTTTTAGTTTGTTTGTTTGTTTTTTTTTTTTTTTTTTTTTTTTTTTTTTTTTTTTTAGGTGAAATTGGCCTAGAAGGAGCACAAGGATACAATGGTACAAGTGGGACGAGAGGACCAAAAGGACCAGATGGTAAGCCTGCTACAGGTGGTATTGGAGAACCAGGCCCAAAAGGATTACCTGGCTCAATTGGTAGAACTGGACCACAAGGTCCTCGAGGTAACACTTGCCAAATTTAATTAGAAATTTTATGTTTCAATTAATAAACTAAGAATATTGTAATTTCAAAATTAAATCAACAATTTTTAGGTAAAAGAAATTATGTGTATGGACCACCAGGACCGGACGGTAAAAAAGGTGTTAAAGGAATGGATGGTCTTCCTGGTAATTTTGGTCCAAGAGGTAATCGAGGACCAATTGGTGAACCTGGTGCTAATGCAATCTTCTGTCCATGTCCATTAGAAATGGAATTACTTGATGTAAAACAAACGGTTCTAATAAATTGTTTAATATTTTAAATTCTATCAATGCTTTAGAAGAAATTTTTGCATATTTCTCTTATAATAATATACTTTTTTACAAATCATTTTGTTTAGGAGAGAGAGAGAGAGAGAAGGAGAGAGAAAGAGAGAAGAGAAAGAGAAAGAAAAGTTAGAATTTTGAAAAATTAAAATTTTTTTTTTTTTTTGCAATTTCTTTTAAACCTTACTACAAACATTTTTGTTTTTAATATTGTTTCTAAAAGAAAAGGAAACTTTTTAGAGTAAACAACAACAAGAAGAAGAAGAACAACAACAACAACAATTGACAAAAATAAAAAGGAAGAAAAAAGGAAAAAATGAAAAAAAACCTAAAAATTCAACTCAAATTTCAGTACTAATTAATAATCATCCCTTACTGTCAACCATTCATGATACTGATCACAAGAATATGCGAAAAACTCTGAGTGGAATTTCAAATGTTAAATCAAAATTCAATAAACCAACAAATATTCCACATGAAAGTATACCACAACAATTTCTTCACCTTTCACCATTATCAGCAGTAATTGAATACGATGAAATACCAAATGATAAAGAAGATATAGGTAAATTGATAATGATTAATTTTAATATCAAAATTATTTCATTTCAAATCAATTTTAATATCAAAATTATTTCATTTCAAATCAAAGATAAAATTTTAATTTTTATCTTTGCTATTGTTTAGATGAAATAATATTGTTCATTTGCATTAAATTATATTCATTTAAATTATTCAATTTAAATATATATAAATATAAATCTAAAATTTAATTTACTCAATTTTTTACTCCTTTTTTTTCCTCCTTTCATTTTGTTGTTAAAAGCAACTTTTCAAAATAAATTACATAAATGTTAGTAATACTAGCTTTTGCTTACTTAAAAAACTTTCTTTTCATTTATTTAATTTAATTTTTCTTTTTCTTTTAGAACTTTTATTTTAGGATTTTTTTTTTTTAATTAGCAATGAAATGCAATAATACATTTTTTTTTTTTTGAAAATTTCATACAACTTTTTAATATTTTAATGCTAACTAACATAAAATTATTGATTATAAAAAAAAAAAAAAAGAACTATGAATCATTTTTTAAAATTTTAAATGTAAATTTAGATTCAACAAATTGAAAGACTAGAAGTTCAATTAATACAAGTGATAACGATGATGCTGATAATAATGATAACAACTTTTCGATATTTTAATACTAACTAGTATAAAATTATTGATTACAAAAAAAAAGAACTATGAATCATTTTTTAAAATTTTAAATGTAAATTTAGATTCAATGAATGAAAAGACTGGAAGTTCAAGTTCAACTAATACAAGTGATAACGATGATGCTGATAATGATGATAAGCTATTGTTGGATAATGCAAACAGTGAACTAGAAGATATAATAATTGTAGATAATGATCATAATTCAGATGGAACAAAAATTCAAATTAATTCATTGCCATCACCATCATCATCATCATCATCATCATCATCATCATCATCTTCATCATCATCATCATCATTAAAATATCATCATCAATTAACATCAAAAATTCAGCCAGTTAATAATAATCAAGAAAATGAGGTTAGTTTTTTTATATTTATGTTAAATTTTTTTTTCCTCAAAAAATTCATTTTTGAAAAAAAAAAATGAAAGAAATAAAAAAAAAAAAAAAAAATTATCATAAGATAATATATTTAATAAAAAAGAATTAATTTCTTATCATTTCTTTTATCATTTATCATTTCATTGTATATATTATTATATGCTTTTTAAATAGAACATAAAATTACTAGCTAATAATTAGAATAAAATAAAAGTAAAAATTTAATTTCAAATTACAAATAGTTAAAACGAATAGATGAAATAAAATAATTTGCATAACGAATAGATTTATATTTTTTTTTTTTTTTTTTTTTTACAAAAAAGAAAACATTTAAGAATTTACATATTTTATGTGAATTACTTACTTACTAATTTAATTAAAGCGTGAATTACTTACTTACTTACTAATTTGATTAAAGCGTGAATTACTTACTTACTTACTAATTTGATTAAAGCGTGAATTACTTACTTACTAGTTTGATTAAATATTATCATTTCTTATCAAATCAATTTGTTTTTGTTTTTGTTCTATTTTTTTTTTTTTTCACGAACTTTTTGAAAAGCTAAAAAATTTTGCAATATTTCATACATTTCATATCTTTTTTTTTCGGCTTTTTTTTCTCTCTCTCTCTCTTTCTCTCTCACTAAATCAACAATTTATTTGATAATTTTGATAAGAAAAAAAAAATGAATTATCAACAAATTTCAGGATGAAATAAACGATTTAATACATAAAGATGAAATTTATCCTAAAATAGAGCAACAACAAATTCCTGAAATTAACGAAAATAATATCAATCAAATGCAACATCTTAGTAATATTGCAAATTATCTTACACAAAATCGTCGTATTGCAATTGGTGATACTAAAGATAGTAAAAGTAAGCAATGATTAATATTATCAAATTTATTAATCAATTATTTTAAAAGTATAAATTTTAATTTTTGAACAAATATAAATTTTAAATTTTAATTTTTCCATACTTTTATAAGACAAAATTAAGTTTTGGTAATTTAAAATTTATATCACTAATCAAGTATTACAAATTGTGATAAAAGTAGTGTGATTACTATTTTGATAAGTGATAATAGGAGTATAAATATATGTAGGATAAAAAGTAACTTTAAATAATGTTTTTTTTTTTTTTTTTTTTTTTTTTTTTGTGTGTAAATTTTCATCAAATAATAACCAAAAATTCAAATGAATGAGTAATTATTATAAAATTTAAAAAAAAAATAAATAAACTTTATTATATTATAAAATATTTTCATACCCAAATTTATTATAATAATAATATTACATACATTTTCAGAAGATGAAGAAAGCAAAATTAGCATAATCGAAAATGAAGGAATAAAATTAAAGGTAGCAACAATAACTACTACAACTATTACTACCACGTCAAAACCATTAATAACCGGATATCCGGATGAAACAACCGGTTCAACTCGTTCACGTTTCATCTATGTAACTAAACGTCCGAAATCACTTTAAGCAAAACATTTTGACAAACTATATACGCTGAATATAATTTAAAATATGATAGATATTTAATTCATGAATATGCAAAAAAAAATTTAATTATGAATATAAATTTTTAAAAGTTAAGTAAATATTTTTAAAAAAGATGAAAAATTCATTGACATCGATGACAAAGCTTTTTTTTTTTTTTTTTTTTTTTTTTGAAAATTTTATTTAAAATAAGAATGAAATTATTTGTTTTTTTTTTTTTTTTTTTTTACTATTTACATATTACGAGTTTTTTTTTTTTTTTTCAAATGTGCATTCCTCATTTTCGCTTTCTTTTTTGTTGTTGTTGTTATTGTAACTTTAGAAATATATTAATTTTTTATATTTTCTTAACAATATAGTTTGTTTGGTTATTTTGTTTACGTATGAAAAAAAAAAAAAAATCATTTCTTCTTTATTATCTTTTAAAATAATATTTTGATGTTAGCTTATCAATTAACAAGTAAACATCTCTTAGATCATAAGGAATCTTTTCATAGTTTCTAATTTTATTTGAAATAAGTTACAATTATTATTAATTCATTTGAATTGGTTAAAATAAATGGAAAAATATTTTTAAAAAAAAAAATTTCATATTATTATTCTTGTTATGTATTATTATTATTATTATTATTATTATTATTTTGTATTACTATTATTATTATTATTATTTTGCATTATTATTATCATTATTATTATTTGTATTACTATTATCATTATTATTATTATTTTGTATTATTATTATCATTATTATTATTATTTATTATTACTATGCTAACTAGAAAAATACTGAAAAATATTGAAATATATTTTCACTAAAAAATATAAAATATTTGAAAATTAAAGGCATTCACTAAAGCTGACTTCCAGGCCTATATTTCATTGAATATGTGAGAAATTACTAAATGTTACTGTTCATTTGATTAAATAAATAACTATAAGCAAAAATAATTCCTTAATTAATCACATATTAGAAATGTAGTTTAACTTTTAATAAAATATTTGAAAAAGTTTAAAAAAAAAAAAAAATGCAGGTTAAAACTTTTAATCAAATAATCATCTCAAAGATAAAACTATACATAAATTCAATTTTTATCCTTACAATTAAAACTCTTTAATTATACTGTCTATTTCATTGAGTTTCAAATTTTTTAACCATTAAAATAAAATAAGCATAAAAGACAATTTTACATCATTGATTAAAATAAACATAAAAATAAAAATAAAAAAATCGATCATTTCAATAAAATGAAATTACATTACATTATTTTACACATTTCTTATTTATGCTTCCCTATGTAATCCTATTGCTCAGTTGACAGTCATCTGTCATCTTTCTTTCATTTAAATTAAATTCTCTCTTCTTCCATTCATTATTTGAAGTTTTATCTCATCTTTCACTACTTTACACAATATTTCTTTCTTCATTATTGACAAATGAAATCAGACGTACAACCACATACTTAAGCGCCTGCCTTGCTTATCTCTTATATCCATCGTTTATCATCGAATTGCATCGTTTCATTTCATTGATTATCAGAACAGTAAAAAGCTTACTATAATCCCTTTCATTTCTTTCTTTTGTTCATTTCACTGAAGTTTCAATAAAATTAAAAAGATGAAATCATATTATCATAGCATAAAATTTGAAATTTTACAAATATTATTATGCTTTAAAAATTTTTAAATAGTAATAATAATAATAAATAAGAGTTTAATTATCAACTGATTGAGCAAAAAAAGCCCTCTAAAATTATTAATATACATTTTTAAATAATAATAATAAATAAGAGTTTAATTATCAACTGATTGAGCAAAAAAAGCCCTCTACAATTATTGATATACATGAAAAAAAAAAAAATTCGGACATTTCGAAAAAACTATTTTATTGAAATAACTGTGATAAATATGACAAAAAAAAAAAAAAAAAAAAAAGTGCGACATATCACTTAAGCTAATTGCGAACATGAACAAAACCAGTCACAGAGATGTTCCACATAAAACGATCAATAATATTTTTATTCGTTAACATGTATATATATATATGTATGTATAAAAATGAACAGCTGTAATAAAATTTTTAAAGAAACCGGAAAGATACTGTGTATGGGAACATGTAATGTTTTGGAAAAATGTTACGGCATTGTCAAAGTTTAAACAGGATTTAAAACAATTCCATTATTAGGATAATTTCACCGCAATCAGCTATAGCAGTTAGTAAAAATGAAAAAGATCAAATGATACACAAATCATTTGAGCACTATTTTCAATTTGATATTTTAAACGAAACAAGGACTAACTAAATATTTCATGAAACTTCAATCTAAAACAATTATTAACAACATTAACTTTTTAATTATGCATATTATTTACTTCCATCATTGTCAGAAAGATTTTCCAATATTCCACAATATAATGAACATGATTGCATGCATCCTAGCGGAAGAAGCATTTAATTGTAGTGAATCCTTTATAACAAAGACAAAAAAGAAATGATCAAACAAAATTCCGCAAATCACAGAAATCTTAATAAAGAAGTGGAAAATTTTTAAGAATAGCTTATAACGAATTTCAACTATTATATAACCATTTTATGTACTTCTTAAATTCGAAAAAAAAAAACCAAAAAACAAAATCACCTGTAAGGGAAAAAGTAAAAAAACGGTTCAAAAAAGTATAGAAATGTCTAATTTTAATAAAGGGAGCATAATAAGAAAAAAAAAAAGGGATCAACGAACTATGAACTATAAGACATTACCGCTAGAGTAATTGTCATAACGGACAAATACCCACCGAATAAGGAAATGAAATCATTTACCCAACATCATTAGCGTGAATGAAAAAAGAAATTCAAAGTTAGGAAAGATAAGACAATTCTACACCATCATCCTGATGCTGACGTTCAATTTGTTCGCGAGCAAATTGCACATATTGCTCATGTTGCTCTAAAAAAAAAAAAAAAAAGAAAAAAATTTATTTTTTGGAATGCTTTGAAATAAATACATCTCAACCTTGAAGGAAGAAACCTATGAGAAATTAAAAAGCAAGGCAGAAAAGATGGAGAGTGGCATGGCAATGTTTTCAAAATAAAAATCAATAATACAATTACATATTTTTCTAGCTGCTGCAAAAAAAAAAAAAAAAAAAGTAAGAAACATATTCAATAAAATATGCAATAAGCAAAAATTACCTTCTAAACGCTGGTTCAATACTGTTTCATATTCATATCTAAGACGTACTTCTTGCTGCTTCAACAGCCTTTCGCAGATCATCATCACCTGAAAACAGGAAAAATCAGGAATTTAACAAAATCACGCAGCAGTCTCTACCTATTCCCTGAAGTTGTCTGACAGCTATCCTTCTTCTCCGCCTAACAACGTAACAGTAGTTTTACTCCAACAGGCGTTTATACATCTGCTGAAGTATGCAAGCTACTTGTTAGGCTCTTAATTGCCCGTAAATAGAAAATCCTTGCAGGACAATTATGTGTATAATTATTCTGATTTTGGTGATTATGTGGAACTAATCACCCATCAAAAAAAAATGCAGCTTAAGGCTCAAAAGCTCGCCTGTTTTAGAGAAAACTGTGGTTTCTCGTACAAGTCCTTCATTGATGATGTCTTTTGCATATTTGTTTCACCTTCTGATTCACTGCCCGACTAAAATTTCATAAATAAACATAAATTGTATACGCACAGATTAATTTGCAGATATAGTGTAAACAAGTCGCTTACAATGATTGAAGGTCAATTACCCATTCATTGTTTTTCTATGACATGATTAAATATAATTTAGTTTAAGACTTTTTCGAGAATTTTCGTAATGCTCACATTATTATTAGGTGATAATGGTGCCTCACGATAACCATGTTCTGAATTTGTTCCGTTCCCAGATGCTACATTACAAGAAAAATGAGACCCGTAATGCTGTACAACGGCACTCCCTTCACCGCTACCTGTGCTCACTCCGCTTGAAGTGAGCGTGCGATGTGGAATCAGATGCCGACGTTTCAGATAACGCACCTGAAAATGATGTCCTATATACGAAACCCAGAATGTAGTAGATTAAAATCCTAAAGCACAGTAAAAATAAAGTGATTCATATACATATATGCATTCCTTAATATATCACTTACTTCAGCCCGTAAGTATGATTCTAGCTGTCCAGATGAAAGCTGCAAATTATTGCCAACTCGGGCAAATGGTGAATTATCGTAGGTCTCACGATCCTGCAAAATCAACAGCTTACATAAGTTTGAAAAAAAAAAACTTTTCTTTCTTATTAAAGAGAAACTCTTCCAAATATCATAAAAAGATGAATAAAAAACTCCTCTACTGGAAAAAACACCGCTACAGAACAGAAATACACTGCACATTGAAAATGCACAAAAGTATTTCTACAATACTTCTTTAATCGAACAAAAAAAATTGCCTTAATGACAAGTACCTTACCAAATAATGGAATCTTTGACAACAGCAGACTAAACATTTCCTTCGATATTAGTACAAAACGATTTCCCCGTATAAGTTGTTTAATTCAATAACACAAATAACATAACTTTTTCTCAGTGTCTACATAAAATGTAATCTAGAATTAACGTGTAAAAAGAATAATTACTTTTGGATCTCGTAGTTGCATCAAAGCACTCGGTGCACCTGAAGTTGGCAGTGACGCAGCAATAGTACCAATTTGTGCACGGAATGGTGAGCAATGTGTCTGCGTATGACGTGCACGTTTTACTTCACTTCCTTCCGCAAGTAGATAATCATCATAATCGTATGGCCTCTTTAACGCAACTCCGCAAGCCATGATAAATCGCACTATCACAAGTTAAATTTACCTGAAAAAATATGCTGCAAAACTATTTTCACTCATTTTCTCCTGCATATTTGAATGCCGTACTTTTAGAAGCAATAAGCACACCTTAAAGTATTACAACGTATACGAGGCATTGTGCCTTAACCATACTGGCTGGGAAATTTTCAATGACATCAACAATGTTGTCCAAAAATTGTAAGGTATCCCACAGTACTTTCCTAACTTCCTCCCATTCTTTCCTTCCCTCCCTCCTATCGCCTATGAGCAGTATGTAAACACTGACAGTAGTAAAAAACATTTCTTGAACAACTGAAAATGTCTCTTGAAAGAATTATTTTATTATTATCATTACTGTCACAATTATTTATATTAGTATTATCAATAAGTTTCGATAAGCACGCTCACTTGTATGTACACAAGTATTTGTACTTCATTATCGATTAAATTTGGCTCTCTCTAACATAAACATCAATAGAACATCATACACATATCTATATATAAAACTAAACTTGAACATGAGAACAAATGTTAGAGAATAGAATAACATAAAGACAAACAAAGATATAAAACCCAGTTTTACAATCTTAAGTCAAAAAAAAAAAAAAAAACTTTAGGTAATTTGCAAAAAAAATCATAGTAAATCATAATAAGGTATAGTAATTTTTCGATAAAAGTGATACAGTATTCAATGCTTATTTTGTACAAAATTTTTACAACATTTTTACACATATATAATAACTTCCACGGAAAATTCCACGTTAAATTCCACGCAATCTACGCCAGCTCATCACTTTTTGAAAAATATTAATTGAGGAATACCTAATCAACAGTATACCTAGTCAATATAACATTAAAGCTACATGAATTTCCCTCACCCCTTCCCATCTTCCCTACCAATTATCAATTACAAAATGACCCGTTCTCCGCCAATCTAACATCGGTCCGATTTTTTGGTTACATCACGCTGCTTCTTACTACTTTCTTGTGCAGAGTCGAAATGAAAAAGTCCTGTCCCAGAGGATATTTTCAGTTATTTACTACTATTTATTCAATCACAATTATTTCACTCTATGAAGAGTGTTCATTTTTGAAAAAAAAAAAAAAAAAAAACAAGAATTTATACAGCTAATTTAAATGTTTTTTCAAATGTGAATATTATTTGCTTTGCTTTTGTTAGATTATTAATGATATATTATGAATGGAATTGAAATAATTCAAAATAGATTTAATTTGATGTGACGTTTATTTCCTATTTTTTAAAAATATTACAATTAACAATTGAAAATAATTGCAGATAGAATTAGAATAATTTCATTCAAAATTTAATTCAAGGTTGTTAAATTTACTAGGGCAATGTCTATCTATGAAATATTTGGAGATTATAAGTCAACTAATTTGAAATGGTAAAACAAAAATTCCTTACTCCAAAAAAAAAAAAATTAAGTTATACTTGCATGAAGTATTTATTATATTCAAATATTTGAATTACTTAAAACACTGCTGTTATTATTTCGTAAAATGCTAAATTTTATTTATAATTCAATTGAAATTAATCAAAATAAATCAAATTAAAATTACAACAAAAATCTGATAATTATCCAAAAAAAAAAAAAAAAAAAAAAAAATTATACGTACAATTGTCATATTTTAAAAATCAGTTGCACATATAATTAAAAAGTTTAAAAAATAATCCAACAAAAAATTACATACATTTTATCATTTTTAATCACATATTATCTATCAAACTTGTTTATTTATCAAAATTTACAATTTTAAAACACTTAAAAATAATTAATTAGTTATACTTAGAAGCTAAAATGCAAATAATGCTTATTTTTTAGATGTTAAATAATAATTCACTGAAGATTTCTCATAAATGAATAAATTATATAGAATAATCAATAGTCTGGAAGTGAATGTTGAGCTATAAAATCTTTACCACATTATTATATACCTATCTGATCTGATCCGTTTTGATCCGATCCAATCCGATTCGATCCAATCCTGTTGTATGTTGCAATAATGATCTCATATGACAATCGATGTTGTATTTATTTCCAAATATTTTTTCTTTTTTTTAATTTTCTTTTAATAAACAAAAATATTAGTTGGATCATCTCTTTCTCACTCTCTCTCTCTCTCTCTTTTTTTTTCAATTCTTTATTACAAATAATATTTTAATCAATTGAAATATTTAATTCCTAACATTCTTTTTTAGTAGCAGAAGAAAAAAAAAGCTAACTAATTATGGGAATATTTTCTCAGCTTTTTAACTATTATTTTCATGATGAAATGACATTTTATTACTGCTATACTACATGAAAGAATTATTGAATAAATAATAATGGATAGATATACTGAAATAATGAATATATTGAAATGAGATGATAATAAGTAGATGTACTGAAATGATATACTGAAATAATGAATATATTGAAATGATATACTGAAATAATGAATATATTGAAATGAGATGATAATAAGTAGATGTACTGAAATGATATACTGAAATAATGAATATATTGAAATGATATACTGAAATAATGAATATATTGAAATGAGATGATAATAAGTAGATGCACTGAAATGATATACTGAAATAATGAATATATTGAAATGATACACTGAAATAATGAATATATTGAAATGAGATGATAATAAGTAGATGCACTGAAATGATATACTGAAATAATGAATATATTGAAATGATATACTGAAATAATGAATATATTGAAATGATATACTGAAATAATGAATATATTGAAATGAGATGATAATAAGTAGATGTACTGAAATGATATACTGAAATAATGAATATATTGAAATGAGATGATAATAAGTAGATGTACTGAAATGATATACTGAAATAATGAATATATTGAAATGATACACTGAAATAATGAATATATTGAAATGAGATGATAATAAGTAGATGCACTGAAATGATATACTGAAATAATGAATATATTGAAATGATATACTGAAATAATGAATATATTGAAATGATATACTGAAATAATGAATATATTGAAATGGTATACTGAAATAATGAATATATTGAAATGAGATGATAATAAGTAGATGCACTGAAATGATATACTGAAATAATGAATATATTGAATATATTGAAATGATATTGAAATACCAAATTTATCAAAATATTGAAGAAAAAAAATAAAATAAAATAATAGAATAAACTATTGGAATAAATAAAAAGTTCGTTATGGTAATCAATTTAAAATAAAAATATAAAATAAACAAAAAAAAAAAACCTTTTATAGAGGCTAATTAATTATCTACGCCACATGCGCCATATCTTTCATACTTTAAAATTATTTTCAAAATATAATTTTTTATTATTTTTTTCGCAATTTTTTTTTTCTTTAAATTTTTATAAAAAAAATATTCTCTAAGTATATTAATTTTTATTTTCATAAATATTGAATGTTACACTGAGAATTGATTACTTTTCTTTTTTTGAAACAAAAAAAAAAAATTTTTCCAAATTTATAAATTTAATATAATGAAAAAGGCTTTTTAGTAATTTTAGTACTTTCAGTAATTTTTATTGGCTTTTTAGTAATTTTATTGTAATTTTTGTTTTTTTTTTTTCTTTGCAAAATTTTTATAAAATCTTAGCTAAATTAAATAAAAATGAGAAAATTTGCATATTTTTACAAGCAAATATTCTCATTTCCATCTATTCAACCCATTTATAAATATTATTTGTACAGCAATTGTTTGCTTTCTCTTTTTTTTTTGATACTATCATTTAATTATAACAATTTTTAGCTTTGACATAACAAAATATTTGTTAAAAAAAAATTTATTAGAAAAAAGAAAAAAAGAGTTTTCATTTTCTTTTTTTCCTAATTTCCTAATTAATTTCTAATTTCATTTTTTAATTAATTTTCACATTTCCTTTTTTCATCTTTTTATTATTTTAATTTATTATAAATTATTTTATATTTTATTATAAAATTATTTTTCATCTTTTATTATTTTTTTTTTTTTATATTATTTTAAAGAATTTTAATCATATTTACTATTTTTGTAAATTTTGATTCCTTATTTTTGAATTTGCTAAACTAAACTACATATTATTTAATATAGTTTTTAAAACTTTATATTATTCTAAAAAAGGAGCAGAATAAAATATATAATTAACTAACTAAAAAAATTATTACTCAATCATTCGATATGCTAACTTCACCATCCAAATAATATTAATTTTAAAGGTTCAAAAACAATTTAAAACATACTTTTCTAATAGCAGCAAAAAAAAAAATTTTTAATTCTAATTTGAAATTATTTCAATTTCTACTTTTGTAAGAAACTAAAAAGAAAAAAAAAAAAAAACATATGCCAAAACATTTTAATGTATTTATTTTGAATATAATTAAATGAATTTAAATTTAAACATTTTTTCAAACGATCATTCACCTTATGCTAAACATTAGTAATTGTATGAATGATGATAACAAAATTAATTATTATTATTTTTTCCTATCACTTAAGTGTTTCTAATTTTCTAATTTTTTTTTTTTTTTTTTTTTAATATATATTTTTTTTAATAATACTTTTTTTTTCTAATATATATATATTTTTTAATGGTTACTTAATTATTTATAAAAAAAAAGAAAAACCGTTTTTGTATATTAATTATCAAACATTCATTCGCTAAATGAAATAATCAAATAAATTAAACAAATGCTAAATTAAACAATTAAATAAATTAAGTAATTATTAAATCAAATAATAAGTAGACGAAATGATCAATGAATTAAGTAATAATCACTAACTTAAACTAATAAATAATAAATTAAACAAATCTAAATAATAAATTAAACAAATCTAAGTAATCATTAAAAAAGTAAATTATGATGAATGGCACGTAACACGTAAATATGATACGGAAAATTTAATATCAAAAGAAGTAAACAAAAAAAAAAGAACCACTGCAACCACGAAATGATCAATGAATTAACTAATAAACACTAACTTAAGCTAATAAATAATAAATTAAACAAATCTAAGTAATCATTAAAAAAGTAAATTATGATGAATGGCACGTAACACGTAAATATGATACGAGTAAACAAAAAAAAAAAAAAAACCGCTGCAACCACGTAAAGATACAAAAATTTGCACAATGAAACGTTAAATTATTCCTATCATTTCTCCATAATATTTTTTTATTTTTTCCCTTAAATTTAAAAATTTCAACAATTTATGAATTTTAATTTTCAATTTTATAAAAGAATGAATTAATGTCATCCATAGGAAAAATATCAAATTTATTTCGTTTCTTTTTTTTAACAATTCAACATTCCTAAAATATTTTGAAAATTTATTGTAACCTTGGAAATGTTTTGCATACAACGCTGCAAAATGTTATGCAAGTTACTGCATGCGAAACATTGCAGTGCAAGCGCGAAATGCAAATTTAAAGTTGCGAGTTTTTTCTTCCTTTTTTTTTTTTTTTTTCATTTGAGAATAGTATGATAGAATTTTGATTTAAATTATATTAGCTACATGCAATAATAATTGCTATATAAATGCATGTTGCATATAAGCGTGCAGCGCATGCAATAGCATTTAGCTATGAACCTTGCATAAATGCATGCTTATGCAGAATGCATGCATTTGTGACTGCATAAAAGCATGGATGAATAATAATTATTGTTCACGTAGACTATTTAATTTATGGAAAATTACTTTTTCTAAGCATAATTCAATTCAAGTTAAGTTTATGTTCACGAAATGATACGAAGATACGTGGTTACGTGTACATGACGTGGCCTTATTCAGATACTCTCATCCATGTATTCACGTACACGTGTACTTTCGAATATCCACTACTCATACACCACAACTTAATTAATTAATTAATAAAATTGCATATAATTAAAAAGTTTAAAGTAATCCGACAAGAAGTTACATATCTATCAAACTTGTCCATTTATCAAAATTTACATTTTTAAAACATTTAAAAATAATTGATCAGTCTTACTTAGAAGCTAAAATGCAAGTAATACACGTGATGTTGTGTATTAATTAAGCACGTGTTAGCGTAAAACGTGATCATTTCAGCCAGGCAATATGGATAAATTTGTAAAGAGAATTCCAAGAAAACATTTGGAACAAACTAGTGAATCTAATTCTATTTCTGTAAGTTTTCTAACTTTTTCAATCTATTTTCAAAATAAAAAAAAAAAAAAAATGTGGTAGCGTTAATCTTCAAGTAATTTTCAATCTTTCAATTATATCATCAGAGTATCGTTGATGTCGAATTTATAAATAACTTCAAATAGTAGTACCTAAGGGTAAACTTCAAATAGTAATACCTAACGATAAACTTCAAATAGTAATATCTAAGGATTAACTTCAAATAGTAATACTTAAGAATATCTGAAGCAGTAAAATGAAAAAGCCAAGTGAAGGTTAAACTTAGTTGAGTATATGGCACCTAAAAGTGCATTCTATAAAATAAAAAAAAAAACAACGTAATTGTAGGATAAAGGTAAGAATGATGACTTGTATATGTCAACTTTTTGATTTAATTAAAGCTTTTGAGAGATTTTTTATTATTTTATTATTTGAGAGATTTTATTATTTATTATCAAGAATGCATTTTGGAAGTTTTTTTTCAGACAAGCAATGAAGTGTCCATGCAGAATGATAAAATTTCAAGAAAAAATTTGGCTGAAACAGCATTTAACAGTGATACAGAAGTAATTTTATGCGGTATTTCATAAATTTATTTTCTAACGTAATTTTAGAAAGTGACAAATTTTTGATTTCAAATTGTATTTAACCATCAGTTTAGATTTTCTTTTTCTTATTTTTTCTTTACAGACTGAATTACAATGCTTAGAATTTGCATCACCATTACTTTCGGGTGATTATCGTTTGGTTGAAGTTAGTCCATCATTAGCTGATCGAATAATAGCCGGTGAACAGTAAGCAATTTGGATTTTTTTCGTGAAAATAAAAAGATTGTTTCTGAGGGTTTGTTTTTAGCGTAAAAAATATGAAATTCATTATATTGAAGAAAAAATTATGTGATTCTAAGCATTTCAAAATTATTTCAGGCTTGTTATTCGTGGTGAACTGGAAGATAGTCCTGTTTTGTGTACGCATGATACTACATTTGATGTAAAGGAAGTCGTAACATCAAATGCATTATTACTTTTGCCAGAGTTTAACTTTAGCGATGAAGCAAATGCTAATAAAGGCATTAAAACAATTAGAAAGGTATTTGATTTTCCATTAGTATTTTGTAGATTATAATATTTACTTTTATTTCATTGAGTTCCTATTATTAAGACTATTATACAAGTTAAATGAGCGTGGACTCCTGGCAAATATATATGGAGTTATTCAAGATTTATGGTTAAAAGTAAAAGTAAAGTACATGTTATTTAATTACATTTGGTATCTTTTATTTGAAATTGAAAAGAAATCTTGGTTTGCTTAAATTACTTGAATCACTTGACCACTGAACATTTCTAACTGAAATAAATGTGTTTCTTTCAAAAAAAAAAAAAAAATTTTGTTTATAGGTTATAGGGATGAAAAATAATTTTATAGAATTACGACAAATGACCTTTGCATCAGTTCAGCGATTGAAAGAAAAGCTACATGAGAGTGAATTGGAATGGGATGAGGAATTTAACAGAAACGATAAGTTGTAAGCAATAGTCTTGAAGTATTTTGTAATGTTGTACTGATCTTAGTAATTTGTAACAAATTTATTTTTTACCAATTTTAATTAAAAGAGATAGGAATTCATCAATATAAAATTTTATTTAATTTTTTAAAAGTTGCCAAGCTTACTTTCAAAAAAAAAAAACTTTCAGTTTTACTGTTGGCGATTTACTGGATGTTGTTCAGATGAGTGAAGTAGAATTACAGAAAGCTCTCGAGCGTTTACCTGTGATAACTTTAAATGGTTTGTTAATCGTATACTTTCTGTTCTGCTAAAAAAAAAAATTCAATTATTGGAGACATTTTAACATTCTTATTTTTAGTATTCTATTAATTTTTTTTTTTTTTTTTTAGGATATGTACGGATGTTATCAGCAGAATTTCATGATCGTCTTGTAACAGCGTTTGTGGATTGTTTGGATGATGATGAAGAACCAGGTATCATTCTTGAATCTGTTGGTTTGGAATGTTTGAAAGAAGCTTTGAAGAAATACCTTCCGGATAAGAATATTCCTGTAGAAGCAGTTAATTGGTTGATTGAAAAATATTGCAATGTTGTTAAAGGTATTTGTACATTTACAAATTTTATTATTAATCACCAATAGTTTGTTACGATTATTAAATATTTTGTATTGTCTTCACTTTTTTATATTTAAGACTGATGATTAGCAATTTCTTATATATTATATGGATTTTAGAAATCGGTTTTCTTGAAATGCATATTTTGATGAAGTCCTGAATGATCATTTATGAGTTTTCTAGAATAAGAATTCATCAGTTTATTTCTATTTATTCATTCTATTTATAGTTAAATCTATAAGATATCATCAACCATCATGCTTAAATATAAAGAAGTGAAGACATAACTTTGATTTTGAATTTTAGAAAATGGTACGGTGACGTATCATATCAACGAAAAAGCAATTTGTCGAGCAAAAATTTCACAGCTTCTTCGCGCAGCTGTAAAATTCGAGTATGATACTTTCGAAAAAGCTCTGCAACAACTTTTACCAATTGGTGTTGAGTTCAAGGTAATTTTCTTTATTCGCAATTTTTTACTTAATTTTAACGAATTGAGATTATTGATTTTTAACTCTTTATAGGTTATTGATTTTTAATTTTTAACTGCTCGACTTTTTGAGTCAACATTAAATGGAAGTTCGCTTAATGTTTGCTCTTTAGGTTGCAATTAATAATGAAACAATAATGAATTAATAAGTTGAACTACCAAATTTGATGCTTATGTTATATTCACTGAATGAAAGGGTTAAATGTCATTTTAGTTCAGCCTTTTTATTGTTTTATTTGAATTTCAGGAGGAATACCTGGAAGGGTTAGCATTCATTGATGAGGAACTGACAACCGGGAAGACAATCCGTTACTTAAACATTGAAGATTTGCCGGAAGAGCCGATTAAAAGGTTTGCATAGTTTAATTGTAATGATTTATTTTAGCTTATCGAATGGAACTTAGATGGTTTATTTTCAAAAACTGTGCTTATTTGTTTAAATTATTATTGAATTAGTCACATCCACGGTTTCATTATATATGTGAAGATTGGTGTATTAATTTAGAATTCAGTTTAACCTTTTTTACGAAATTTGAATTTAGTTTTTTAAAGAAAAAAGAAAAATTAGCTTAAAATTAAGCGTTATTTGTTATTAAGAAGGGAAAATCGTTATGTTAGTTTAGTCGCAAATCCTTCCATACTTCCTTATACTTACAAAAATTTTTTGTGTTATCATACCGATCTTTTTTTTTTTTTTTTTTTTTTTAGTTAAAATTTTTTTAAGATTACTTTTTACAGATTAGAATTACTGTTTTCTCTTCGGCAGTCTTGGAAAGAATCAATTATACAGCAATATCTCAGTGATCTTTGTCCCACGAAACGACATTTAAATGAACTTTTAGTGAATTGTTGCCGACAGAAAACAACTGTAAATGGTGAAAAGGTGCTAGTCGGTTTAAAAGAAATGTTGTTGTAATTTTTGAAATGTGCAACATTTACTTAGGAATTACTCTCTCTCTCTCTCTCTCTCTCTCTCTCTCTTCCATGATACTTTCTTGTATATGTTTCCTAATTGCTTTTTTTTTTTTTTTTGTCAAAGTTTGTTAAATAAAATGATGATCAAAATTTATCGATCAACAAAATAAGGATTAGACCGTCTCTTATGATATTTCAATTATGATGTAGAATTTGATTGACATTCTATTTTCATCTAAAACCAATTCAATTTGGTTCAAAATTTAACCTATAACTTGTTAAATATTGCATAAGTTATTAAGATTTTAAAATATTTTTTGCTTGTAATAATAATAATAATAATAATATTGTGACCAATTATAGAATTTACTCATTAAAATTCTTTCATTTTAACTTATTTCTATAACATCACAAAAAATGCTAATATTTTAAATTTTTACTTTCCATATGCCAGATAGCATTAGACTGAGCTAATTTTATTCAGAATAATTTCAATATTTTGCTACTACTTTATCTATACTGAAATTAAATAGAAAAAAAAAAAGTCCTAAAAATCAATTAATCTTAGCTATTTGCAAAATATAATCATTAAGTTAGAATATCATTTCTTTGTAGAAAAAAAAAAAAAAGTATTTGGCAGTTTTAAATGATGTTATAATTTTTAATTGATCATAAAGAGTAATTTATTAAAAGTGTGAAAACATTTTGTATAAAACAATAAAACATATTTATTACAATTTTCTTATTATATACCATTCTTATCAACATATTCATTAGCATTTCTTCTATTGCGTTGCATTTTCTTTTCTGAACTTTAATTGTTATTTCATTTATAATTATTATCAAATTAAATTGTTATTTCATTTGTAATTTATCAAATTTATTGTTATTTCATTTATAATTAACAAATTAAATGTTATTTCATTTGTAATTTATCAAATTAAATGTTTTTTTTTTTTTATTTTCTTTTCTGAACTTTAATTGTTATTTCATTTATAATTATTATCAAATTAAATGTTATTTCATTTATAATTATCAAATTAAATGTTTTTTTCATTTATAATTTATCAAATTTATTGAGTTATTTCATTTATAATTATTATCAAATTAAATGTTTTTTTTTTTTTTATTTTCTTTTCTGAACTTTAATTGTTATTTCATTTATAATTATTATCAAATTAAATTGTTATTTCATTTATAATTATCAAATTAAATGTTTTTTTCATTTATAATTTATCAAATTTATTGAGTTATTTCATTTATAATTATTATCAAATTAAATGTTTTTTTTTTTTTTTTATTTTCTTTTCTGAACTTTAATTGTTTTTTCATTTATAATTATCAAATTAATTCATTTATAATTAGCAAATTAAATGTTTTTTGCATTTACACATAGCAAATTAATTGTTATTTCATTTGTAATTTATCAAATTTATTGAGTTATTTCATTTATAATTATCAAATTAAATGTTTTTTTTTTCATTTGCAATTATCAAATTAATTCATTTATAATTGACAAATTAAATGTTATTTCACTTTTATTTATCAAATTAAATGTTTTTCCATTTATAATTATCAAATTAATTCATTTATAATTAGCAAATTAAATGTTATTTCACTTATAATTACCAAATCAAATGTTATTTCATTTGTAATTATCAAATTAAATCATAAAGACTAAAATGCATTTTCATACCTTTAATAGTTGAAAATTATTTTCCAATCATTTTATTGGAAGTTTTTTTTTTTTTTCCTATCAGTGAATGATTTCAATAAATCTTCAAATTTTTTCAACATTTTGTAAAATTTTTTTTTTTTAATTTTATTTTAAATATAAATATGATAATAAATAAACGTACGTACTCGATATGTTCACATGATTTT